AGGATCATGACCTGAGCCGAAGGCAGTCGCTTAACAAACTGAGCCACCCAGGCGCCCTCTGATACATATAATTTTTCTGAGAATGGAAAAGACCTTAGAATAGTTAAGCAAAGCAGAACAGTCCTTGGGTATGTATCCTTAGTATATATTGAAGTGACAGACTTACATCCTGAGTTCTTTGCTTTACATCTATATCATATCTTAACTTGAATTGCAAATAGAGGTGGTAAAATAATAAAGACAGGAAGAGGAAGAAGGTGTGCATGTGCATGTGTGTGTGTGCACATGTGGTTTCCCAGGGTTTGGAAGAAGAGCAGATGACCAAGAATATCATATCACATTCTCTGTTCTCAAAAATAGTCTACCTTATAGAAATTAGGAAAGTGCAGACTCTAAAATATTAAAAGATTTTTTTTTCTTTTAGTTGGGTATTTTAAGAAAAAAAATGGCAGCTTCTGGATAATACAACAGATTTTGAGATGAAACATACTGATTTCACACTAGGGACACCAAGATGGCATCAGAAGTATTGTCCTTGGAGTAGTAAAGAGAACACAAACAGTGTTATAAGGCCCTTGGACAATATAGACTGTTAAGAGGCTAATGTTTTAATTTTCTTTTTTTTATTTTAAATACTCTTCAGTTTTCCCTATGAGCATTTCTTGTCTTCTCCAGATGGTCTGTGTCCATTAAATTAGCAAATAAGATTTTAAAATACCCAGAGGTGTTTTCTAATTGGGAATTGGGAGAGGTTCTTGAAGATTAATAAGGTTTCCCTTAGTAAATATTAGGAGAATGGAGAAGGAGAATGAGCTCTGACTACCATTCTCTGTTACCTCACTGCCTCCAAAACCACAAGTTTCTTCTCTAGGATCTTGGGCTGCAAGGCTTCCTAACTGTTCTTCAGGCTCAGTGACTCCTGCTCAGGAGTGAATGAATATAGACTTGGCAAACTGCTTGAGAAAGGCTGCTGACCCTCGGCCTAAGAAATCTTGAGCAACAGGAGACCTGAGTTTAAATGTCAATTTGTATATGACTCACTATTTGAAGAGAATGAATCGTTCTTTTGGTTGAATCATCTAGCTCCATGACCTGAGGTGTGGTACTGAAGATAGCATGGACCGGCTTCACACACATTGCATACTTGAATACATTCTACTCATCAAAATAGAAACACATGTAGTAAATACCTAATTGTGTACGTGATTTGCAATCATTCAGAATATGTAGGCTAAATATTAAAATAAATTAGTGCGTGTTATGGTTTCATGGGTCAGGTAAGATGTCTGTTATCATAAAAAAGGGAGGAGGCTTCCTATGTATTAATTACCAGGTTACCAAAGCTCTGGGTAAATTTGGTAGGAATGTTAGAGTAGCTTGTCAGCAAGTAGTTGCTGTCTGGTTGAAAACTGGACACTCTGTTTACTTGGGCCAAAATGCAGCTATATTAGGCTAATTTTTTTTAAAGATTTTATTTATTTATTTGACCGAATGAGAGAGAGAGAGGGAGAACAAGCAGGATGAGTGGGAGAGGGAGAAGCAGGCTCCCTGGGGAGCAGAGAGCCCAATGCCTGGCTCGATCCCAGGACTCCGGGATCATGACCTGAGCCGAAGGCAGACACCTAACCAACTGAGCCACCCAGGCACCCCATATTAGGCTATTTTTAGTGATAAAAAGTTTTTTAAAAGTTTCAACTCTCCAGAATCTGACTCAAAATGTCCTGATATTGTATTCTTTTTGTTTTTGTTTTTGTTGTTGTTGTTAAAGATTTTATTTGACAGAGAGAGAGAGAGAGCATGTGAGTGCACAAGCAGGGGAAGTGGCAGAGGGAGAGGGAGAAGCAGGCTTCCAATGTGGGGCTCAATCCTAGGACCCTGGGACCATGACCTGAACCGAAGGCAGACACTTAACCCACTGAGCCACCCAGGTGCCCCCCTGATATTGTATTCTTTTCTGTGATCAGAGTCAGGGATAAAGAAATCTATCTTCTAGCACTGAATAAGAATAGATTTGGGTGTGTGGTCAGACCTATGAGTATTACAAAGAGTGAATAAGCTACCATTTAAAAACAATAATTTTATGCTGTAGTAGTTCTATTCCTTTTAGCTTAATATAAAAGAGTAAGAGGACAAAAAGAAAATTAACATTTATCAAGTGCCAGTCTTATATGTCGTTTATACTTAGTCACAAACATCATCATTAAAGTTCACAGGAATCCTGTAACAGGTAATGTTTCCATATTGGTCAAGGAAGAAACTGAAGGTTAGAGACTGGGAGGGCAGAGCTGGAATGCACACTCAGGTCTGCTAGCTTATGATCTTTCCACAAAATCACTTAGGCACAAACAAAAAAACCCTTAAAATCAGGTAGGGTTAAAAATGAACTATTGGGACTTCATCAAGATAAAAAGCTTTTGCAGAGCAAAGGAAACAGTCAACAAAACCAAAAGACAACTGACAGAATGGGAGAAGATATTTGCAAATGACCTATCAGATAAAGGGCTAGTATCCAAAACCTATAAAGAACTTATCAAACTCCACACCCAAAGAACAAACAATCCAATCAAGAAATGGGCAGAAGACATGAACAGACATTCTGCAGAGAAGACATCCAAATGGCCAACAGACACATGAAAAAGAGCTCAACATCACTTGGCATCAGGGAAATACAAATCAAAACCTCAATGAGATACCACCTCACACCAGTCAGAATGGCTAAAATTAACAAGTCAGGCAACAGCAGATGTTGGCGAGGATGCAGAGAAAGGGGAGCCATCCTACACTGTTGGTAGGAATGCAGGCTGGTACAGCCACTTTGGAAAACAGTATGGAGGTTCCTCAAAAAGTTGCAAATAGAGCTACCCTATGACCCAACAATTGCACTACTGGATATTTACCCCAAAGATACAAATGTAGTGATCTGAAGGGGCACATGCACCCCAGTGTTTACAGCAGCAATGTCCACAATAGCCAAACT